GTGCTGAGGAATCGAATCCAGGGCTTCATGCATGTGAGGCAAGCACTCTACCACTGAGCCACCACCTTCCCAGCTCCACTATTCTTCTTCTTGTTTCCTTTTTATTTCTATTATTGCTAGCAGGGCTGGAAGACTAAGATGGCTCTGTCTGCCTGTAAATCAGTGTCCTTTCTTCTGTACCACATTGTGTAGTAGGAGATCAGGTGAATTTGTCCAATACTTCTTTATCCTTTTTCTTCTTGTGTAGTTCTCCACCATTCTGGACACCATTGGCCTCCTGGAGTAGGAATTGGGCAATGAACAATTCATTTCTTAGCCAATTAAAGAAGAAGAGGCCACTCTCTAGGTGGAAATGATGACGAATCCCAGTGAGAGGAATACCTCAGGGCTTCCTCATCCTCCAGAGCTCTGCTTGCTGATGTGTCCATTGGGGCCCTCCCTCCTGTCTATGCTGGGAAGCAAAGGAGAGGGCGATGGTGCCCCATGTGTTCTGATCTCTGATTAATACACACTTCCTGGGGAGTCGCTGGCATAGCTCTGATTCTTCAGCAGCATCTGATCAAATTAGCTGGAGTTGACCCAAACAAAGTCCACATGTGTCTGTTAACGTCCTTTGGTTTTAGACAACAGAAAATGGCTCTAGAGTTTAATCCCTAGTACCACAGATAAAACTAAACACAGGACAAATGAACAGCCCCACCCTGATTGTGTGCACTAAAGGGAATGACTTGACATAGATTAAGATGCATTCTATACATAGTGTGCTTTGTTAAATGGCAGAAATTCAATATATATCCTACAAAATTAAGTGAGGGAAGGCTTGGGTTGGGGGAGGGAAGGGTGACAATGTGGAAGGGTGTGACATTGATCCAGGCGTACTATATGCATAAACTTATTTGTTGAATGGCAACTCCTTTGTACACCTTATAGAACTGAAGGATCCAAATGAAGCTGAGGACCTGGACCGTGACAGGTAACTCACATGATGAGCGCCCTGCCTCTTGTTCTTTGTTACAGTACATGGCTGCTGGGTGCTCTCTGATATCCCCTGTGGAAATACGACCATCTTAACTTCTGTGTTTGTGCACAGGTTCAGCACATGGGGGACTTCTCTCTAACTGAAACTTGATGTCAGGGAAGTATCTCTCATTGGCAAGATCTTCACTTCTGGCAGGTGGAATTGTATTCAGATGTTAAGAAAAACCAGTATAAATTAATTGTGTACTTAGCAGGGTTGTAACTATATAAAGCTACTTAGGCATCTGAGGAAGGATAAGAAGAGGCCGTGGCAGTACCTAATAAACAGCACATGCTATGGTGAATTTGGCATTTTTGCTACTGTTATTAATAATAGCAATTATTGGCATCTATGCTGTATCAGCAGCAAGGCCACTGTGGGGCTTTATACATATTGACTCTCCTAATAATAGTTGAGTCAGACTCTAGTCCCTACGTACCTTCAACTCTTCTGCATTGTGTCACATATTGTAAAGCTAACCGAAAAAGAGAATTTTAAATTAATTCTACATGTGGTAGGAGTTCCCAGGTTTTGAGACATCCTTCAAATGGTTACTGATGGACAATAAGGAGTGGCTCTTTCCTGACTTACAAAGCCAAGAAAAAGTAAGATTCAATTTTCTCTTCTTTGGGTTCAAGGAACAAGTGGGTGTATGGCCAATCCTTCATGACCCATCTTGCAAAAGAAATAGATGAACAAGGTATCACTAGCCTTAAATATTCTAAACTGTCCTGGGGATGTCAATTTTTCTGCTATGAAAGATGAGTTTGTATTAAGGGAATGTTGGAATGTCATGGTCGACAGCATTTGAGGGACTGGTTTATTCTTTGTGAATACTCTGGCTGGAGATTTTACCTCTACTGTGAAAGCTCTGTGATACCACCAAATGTAATTGACTTTTTTTTTAAGACAAGGATTATAAGACTACATACTGGCTGGAGATGGCCAGTTCATCTTTATGGGTTACCATTCTCATTTTTATAATTTTCTAATACCAGAAGTGTGAGGATATCTTACCCCATGTTGAACACATGTTGAGGTTCATTGCAATTTTTCAAAAGCCAAGGAGGAAAGTGATCCAAGCTTTGGTGTATGGTAATTTTGGCTTTGAAGAAAATAGGTGATATTATTCTAGAGTCTTGACCTCCTGACCTCCCCCCAACCTCCATTGGGATGACCCTACTCTTCAGAGATGAAGATTGTGGGGCTTGTAATGCTAATGATGAGTAAGTGCATTTTCAGCTACTTTATTAAGCTGGCCTTTTCAGGTTCCTTATCATTAATATTTATGATTAGGATATGTTTCTCTAGAGACTCTGAAAATTGCTTTCCTATTGCTCACATAAAATTTATGGCTAAGAGGAGATCCCACACAAACCAAGACTTCTGTTTCTTGCAGGAAATGAAAGCTCTACCAATGGCATTTGATGGTATCACTCTTTAGTCAATGGGTCTGGCCATCTTTTAAACAACTATGAATCCAAGAGAGAATGTGAAGGTCTGTGTACTGGAAAGCAGAGGCATGGAATAAATTCTCCATGACCACATCCTCCTCTGTTGTAATTGGCCCTGGCAAGTTCTGCCTTTTGCTTCCGCAGTATTTTTTCCAAATGAAGGGTAGTTTCCTTTGACTGCTGGGAGCTCCCTGCCCTGCAGGATGGAGGGGCCTTCCTCCTTAGCAGAGCCCACATAGAACCCTGGCACTCAAGGCAGTGCCATCTGCAACCTGCCAGCGATTTTGCACTGTTCCATCTCAAATGGGGCTTGAAATTTCTGGCTGGGCCAGGAGGAAGGAAGTGGCTTTACCACTCGGCTTCGCATCTGCTCATGAGCTCTCATGGGCTCAGGAACTCAAGAGGATATTTCAGATTTAGGCGTTGGAATCAAACATTATTTCTGGTGTATTTTTTTCAACAACGAGCAATTCTGTACTAAAAATAACTTTTGAAGGGTATGATAAAATCTTACAAGAGCCCCTAATAAGATCGTCAGTGCCAGTTCTGCGGGCATGACTAGACAAATACAGTCTCATGAATCTAGTGCTTTAAGGACACCGACTCTAGGTTCAGGTGTAATCCTTACCTGTAAACCCCTAGCATTTGAAATAGTAGTGGTCCTCTCCAGCTCTATAAATTTGTCACACTTGTGAAATGGTCCATTTCTGTTAGTGCACTTGCTTGCTTTTTTTTGGCCCTTGTTTATGTTGGAATCCTCAGTTGATGCTGGAGTGGTCTAGGAGTGAAGGTGTTTACTCAGCCTATGTGGGGTTGAATGAAGGGGAAGCTATCACCCACTCTTCACCTGCATTACTTGGCAGTATAACTGGACCCAGCCAAGAAGTGCTCTAGGGGATTAAGGGCCAGGTGGCACTGGGGACTCTCAAGAGGGCAAATATATATTTGATTGTGTTTAAGGACGTTTCTAAAAGCAGCTGAACAGCTAAGGAGACATGATAACAAAATGTATTGGGTGGCCCTTGATAGTGCCATGCGTGGAAAATAGCTATAAAAGACATTACTGGGACCACTGGGGAAGTTTGCATGCAGCTTCATTTTGGATGATGTTATTCTATCAATATTAAATTTATTAAGATGAACTAGAGGAGGTCATTGTTTTGGAGAAAAACTTGAAGTATTTAAAGCAATATAGTATCTGAGGCTTTATAGGGTGTATAGTACATATTATACATGAATATATAAATATATATGTATATATATAACATGTATTTATAGCGGATGAAGCAAATGTCATGTTAGCAGTTGGTGACTGTATGTACATGTGTGAATTCATTGTGCTGTGCTGTTCTTATCTTCTGTAAACTCCAAGTCTTTTAAATAGAAAGTGTGGGGGAGTCATGCAGAAGTCAGGCCTGTGCTACCGCATGGGTTGTCCACTTGCCAGTCCCTTCATCTTGCTTGGTTCACCCATAGGCATGGAGTGCTTGCTCCTATTGTATGATTTGGGATCACTTCCTTTATCCTTTCCTCTCTGAAGACAGTGTCAACATCTTGCCTGTGATCGTGCCAATGTGGTGATACAAGGGTGCAGGACTGACAGCGATACCTGTTCTTGTGACCCGTGTCCAGTGTCTGGGCGCACTCCCCGACTATCCAAGCTAACATCTGTTGAGTTCATCTGCAGCAGCTCAGCTGTTTCTCACAAACTCTGGTCGGTTCTCTCATCCCATTTCACAAATGAAGTTATGGGGTGTATGCTGCTTGCAAAAGGCAGAGACAGAATGTAAAGATGCAGGACCCATGATCCCCAGTCCACATTCCTATCCACTACTCAGTGGGCCTCAGGCTGGAGTTGCTTTGCAATTCCCTGTTGAGTGTTTTCCCAATCCAAGGGTTTTGTTATGCAGTGGGGCTCAGACATTACTGGATAGGCTTGGTTGGTTGGTTTCAGCCTCTTCATCCAGCTAACGGCAGGGAAGTTCCATCTGTGACCTGTGTCTTCTCCCAGCATCTGCTGAAGTGGAAATCTTAGGGATTTGACCATATGGATTTGCTTCAGTCTTGCCTCTCTGTGTATATACATTGTCCATAGCCTCACAGGAAGTAAATGGTTGGGGATGAACCACATTCATCTTCTCCCTCAACTAGCTTGCGGTGGAAGGGTAGCAGGAACATACTGAAGGTGCCTGAGAGCTGCCGTGGGGTGAGTAGGGGGGACTCCTGATAAGAGACCTCTGGGGAAGCAGGACAGAAGCTCGAGGGGCGGGGCAGGATACACCTCTTCCATCATGTTCTCACTACCCTCACTCAACCTGGGGAAACAGCTGGCGTTCTGGGCATTGGAATTTCTGCTTTCCTTATGACTGTCATGGTGCACCATTGAAAATCCTTGACATATCATGGAAACAGGAAAAATTATACTTCTTTCCCATGGAGACAGCCACTTCTAAAGAACAATCACCAGGCAGGCTGTCCTCTTACTAAAAGCCTTCAGTTTTGTGTATTATAAAAAAACTAGAGACATACATGCCAGCATTTGTTTATTATGTAGCAAAAGTGCAAGTTTGCAGTGTAATCAAAAGGGACATGTAGATGAGTTTTAGATGTAAAAATAGAAAAGAATGTGCACAGACTTAGATTGGAATTCAGTCTTAAGAATCACTAAGGAGTGAAATGTTTCCAGCTCAGTGTCACAAGGACAGACGTGGCTGTAGCAGGTCTACTCACATGGATTCTGAATGACAATCAGAAGATACTCCTTATCTAGAAAGAAATGTGGACAAAATTAATTCACCCTAGAAATTACATGTAATCAACGAACATTTCAGCTAGCCTGCATTTGTCTTCCATAGACAGCATACATGTAGATTGAAGGCTGCACATCCAAAGGTTGGCCCTAGAGATTCTGATTTTATTGGTATATGTGCATCCTAGACATACTTTTTTTTAAAAAATAAAAAGCTCTCCAAGTGCTATTAGAAGATAGCCATGGTGACCAGAGCTATAGAGAAAGCTTTGGTTTATGGTCATTTCTGATTGGACAGATGTGCTATGAGAACTTCATTCTAGACTAGATTTGAAAACTGGACAGTCTCCCCACAGGCCTTGGATCCACCCCCTCTTTATTCCCTGGACAGAGGACATGTCTGCTACTCTTTGAAGAGTCTGTGTGCTCAGCTCACTGAAAATGAGAACTATGTCTAGATTTTTGATGATTAATAATGCATATGGGAAAAAATTCAACACAGTCAAAGGTGAAATAGCTGTGTTTTGAAGTTTAACTTTTCAGATTCAAACATGAATTTTTTGGAAGAACTGTAGTTTGAACTCTTGGCCTCATGCTTGCTAGACTATGGGCTATCTGTAGACTAGGTGCTATACTATTGGTTCATACCTCCAGATCTTTTGTGTACTGCTTATTTTTGAGATATAGCCTGGCTTCCCATCCAAGCAGGTTGCAGGGTCCACAGTCTGCCCTTTTCACCTTCTCCTCATAGCTGGGAGGATAGGCATGCACCAGCTTCTGGACTTCTCTAATCAGGCTGGCTAGAATGACTCTTTCCATCTCACCCTCTGTTTAGCTAAGATGGCAGGTGCACACCCATCTATAAGTTGAGAATGGATCTAACCTTTCTTCTTGGATGGCCTCCAAATGTAGTCCTCTTATTCTCAGGCTACTAGGTAGTTAGAATTACAGGTAATTAGCCACTGGCAGTTGGCTTAAACATCTTCATTTTTAATTCAAAGAATATTGTTTCATACTTTATGCTAAAAACCTATGTTCTCCATTGTTTTAAACAAGGATTTGAACCAGTGAAGTAGAACAATGCTGCAAACGTGAAATGAAATGCCAAATTACCTGGAGCTACCATGATTTCATGTTTCTTTGATCTGATCCTAAGAAAGGTGAGGTCATTCTGAGGATCAATATCACGGACTGTGCTCTTGGCTTTCATTGTGAGCTGATGAAGAAGGCCTGCATATTGAACTGTGGTTGAGTTGTCCAAGGTTGTACGGATTGGAATGCCTATTGTGAGATGTAATTGGGAGTTAGTTATTTTTTTTATGACAAGAAAATTCACATTGTAAAATACTGGAAGGCGTTGATAATTGCAAAGAATAAAAATTACCATGGATAGGATCACTGGTATTCAATTTTAGTTTATTTCCTTACATTCTTTTTACCTCGACATAGATTCTATTGAAGTATCTAGTTAGTATTTTTTCTCAGTAAAGCAGAATCAAGCATATGTTGTTAACATTCAGGAGTTCCGACCACTTGCCATGTTGCAGAATGGATCTACTGGTACAGGACACACAGTTCTGGCTTGACCAGTTGCTCTATGTACATTTCTAAGGATAGCTGACTCAAACTACATTGACAGATTTAGCTGTTTCTTTTTCCCCATTTAAGTTAGGTAATCCAAGTTGTCTTTGTTGATAATATCATCACACTATTTTAAATCTCTGCTTTTTTTTAATGGCTACATTACAGTATAATTCATCCTCAATTGTTTGGCCATTTGATAATTCTTATAGCTAATAAGAAACATTTCTGTTCAGAAAGCATTTGGAATCTGTTGAGTATTTCAGTGCTTAATTCACGGTTTTTGTTTGTGTTTTGTGTTTGATGGTTCTAGGAATTGAACTCAGGGCCTGGGTGCTATTCTGGAGCTTCTTTTTTTCTCAAGGCTAATACTCTCCCACTAGTGGAATTAGAGCTCCATTTCCAGCTTTTGGTGGGGGGTAGTTTATTAGGGATGAGTCTCATGGACTTTGCTGCCTGGGCTGACTTCGAACCATGATCCTCAGCTCTCAACCTCCTCAGTAGCTAGGATTACAGGTGTGAGCCACCATTCCTGGCTTTCATGTATTTAAAAAAATAAAATATTATAAAAGCATTGAATAGAGGGATTTGTATAAGTCAGATAAAGAGAACATTTCTTTTTGGACACCCCTTCCTTTGTTCTCTCCAAGTGTTTCTCTCCCTTCATGGATTTTTAATTTTTTGGGGGTGGGGGAGCATGGGGACTGAACTCTGGGCCTGGGCGCTGTCCCTCAGCTCTTCAGCTCAAGGCTAGCGCTATACCACTGAGCCACTTCCTAGCCCCCTTCATGTATTTTTATATAAAATATTTTTCGAAGTATCTTATCTACAGAAAATCTTTTAAATATTTGGTCTGTGACGATGTGTTAGTCTTCTCTGAAACCAGAAATGTAAAGACATTAGCACTGTCCACACTAGAGAGTACCTCCAAATGTATTTTCAAAATTTCTTCCTAACTCCTCACATAGTATTTTGCAAGCCTTCCATTTTATTTTAGCAGCACATGTTAATAGAGATACTCTAGTTTTGCTGTACACTATTTAATTTGCATTCATTTTTTTTTATTGTTGTTGGTTGTGGGGCTTGCACTCTGGGCTTGGGCACTGTCCCTGTGCTCTTCAGCTCAAGGCGAGCGCTCTACCACTTGAGCGACAGCACCACTTCTAGTGGTTTATTGGAGATAAGTGTCTCACGGAGTTTCTTACCCAGGCTGGCTTTGAACTGTGATCCTCAGATCTTAGCCTCCTAAGTAGCTAGGATTATAGGTGTGAGCCACTGGTGCCTGGCTTGCATTCATTTTTGACTTAAGCATTAAGTTTGGTCTTTTAGTCTTTCTACTGTTCTAGGATATAAGTTTAAGACATAATCTATTAATTTAACTATGAAATTCTAGCCAGACAAACATGCAAGTAGAATTCAGTTCAGATCACTGTAAGCTCAATTTGGGTGACCCAGAACTTAATGCTTATTAGTAACAAGTACTGATAGATATTTTACATATACTGTAATCTATGATAGCCTTCATGTTATTTTGAAAATTACTGGATAGCCAGCAATTCCAGGGATTTTATTTACAAATGTGCCTTTAGTTGATGGGGACACATTAAGTGACCTTGGGATAGCTGTCAAATTCCTTCAGTACCTGAAGTACCACTTAGTAAGAGTCTAACATGGCTTTTGATTTTCCTTACAAAGTGTAGCTCAAGAAAATAGTAAACTACCCTTTCTAGAGTTAAAATATTTAAAAGGAGGATTTTGTTTACATGAAACTGTTAGAGACGATGTGTGTGTGTGTGTGTGTGTGTGTGTGTGTGTGTGTGCGCGCGTGTGCGCGCGTATGCGCAGGTGCATGTGCAAGCACACCAGTCCTGGGGCTTGAGCTCTGGATTTGTGTGCTGCTCCTGAGCTTTCTAGCTCAATGTTAATGCTCTACTACTTGAGCCATAGCTCCACTTCTGGCTTTACAGTGGTTAGAGAGTCTCATGAACTTTCCTGCCCATCCTGGCTTCAAACTATTATCCTCAGATCTCAGCTCATGAGTAGCTAAGATTACAGGTTTGAGCCACCTGTGCCTGGCTGGAGACCATCTCTATTGACTTTGAAACAGCCTAATATCTTTTGAAGATAGCTACTATCTCCAGAATAAGTCTTGCTAAACAATACCAGGACAACATTTTCAGAGAAACCTACTAAGATAGGCAAGATATTATAGAATATTGGTAATTTCTGATAGTTACAGTTTTGTTGGCCATTTTTCCCATAAAAGACAGTCTTTTGCACCTGATAAAAGATCACAAGGCACAGATTTTTAGACAGTAGGAATCAGAAATGGAGTAGGCACTCAACTTTTAAGGAGAACTTTTGACAAATAGTTTTATTTTGCACCCTAAATCGTGACTATCTATGAAGTAAGCATTGCTCAGTGTCAAGACAAGAAATACAATTGGAATACATTATTCAAAATCTAGATGACAAGATTATGAATCAGATGTTCAGGCCTATTTAGTCTGTCTTTTCATGAGCCAAACCAAGAAATAAACCAGCTGGCCTTTCTGAATAATAAGCACATAGTATGGAAACTCATAGTAGGCTTACAAAACTTGGGAGGTTTGTATGTACACCACTGACAAATGAATATAAACAATCTGGATATATATTTATTAAGTTGATCTAAGATAATTAATTATTAAAAAGTAATTTTAGCATAAAATTCACCTGCCTCCTTTCTGAGAAGTGCCCACTGCTCCTAGTTTCTTAGGCCTCCAAGTTCTGCTAGTTCAATCCAAAAATCTATGTGTTTGTGTTTATGTTCTTTATTTTAATGGTGTCATTATTCTGTACTGCATGCTTTTCTTTTCAGACCCTTAGGAAATTGTTTGAGTCAGTACATGTAAAGCTAGGTCATGCATGTTAATGAATGTATGACAGTCTATTGAATGGATGTTTTGTAATATACAGCCATTATGTGCATTAGCCTGTGCTCAGTCTTTGACTTTCATAAACAAGGCTACTGAGTATGTCCTTGTGATGTCATTTCACATATGTATGTATGTGTAGGGTAAATTCCTGAGATAGAGCTCTTAGAACAAAGAGTATGTGCATTTTAAAATTGGATATTGATAAATTTATGGTACTACTTTAAAAATATGACTATGATCCTGGTAAGCTGGTATTTGTTATATTTCAATTTGTCATCTTCAACTGTACATTTGTGCTTTGGTTGATAGATTGCGTTTCAAAATAAAAGGAATTGGCTGGATAGCTGACAAAATCTAATGAAATTCAAATGGAGGATTGTTAGAAATGTCAAGAATATTTAAAATTAGAGCCTACAGAAATTGGGCTTATACACAGAGGAATATAGGACAGATATGACTGCCTGCGAGATAGACATTTATATTTGCCACTATCTAGTGTAATGATAAGTGTTGCAATACTCTAAAGGGAATCGTTTTACAAATGGGAAACCAGTTCTTACAAAGACTCTAATCTAAAGACCTATATCATTCAGCATTGACAAATTGATAAGTCAACTTTATTGTTACACCTAGGAAGTAACAGCAAATCCAAAAGACTAATGTTTAATATGATATATGATGACATATAAAGGGAAAAAACATAGTGACTCTATCCAACCACATAGACCATCTGAAAATATGTTGAAATGACTTCCTATAATTAGTAGACCAAAACTGCTAGCAGAGAACAAGAAGACCCAATCTCCACCTTAGTTAAATATTTTTAGTACTGGATTTCCAAAACTTGTAAAGCTGCAAGACTGAACTATAATAAATGACACTTTCATCCAAAATTGAGTAGGCTGTTGAGATTATTTTATTACATTCTGGTCACATAACTTATGCCATATGTCATTAATAAACATCCATGTCATACACTCTGGTTATTAATAATCTGACTATAAAAAAGCCTCTCATTTATATTTTGGAGAAAAAGGTTAATTTGACTTTCAGGTAAAAATTTGAGTATCCAATAATCTTGAGAACTGCCCTGAATCTTAACGTAATCTTATCCTAGTAGAGGTTAATGAAAAGTTAATGGGTATTAAAAATAATATTTTGTTGCCTTCAGATAAACGAGGTTTTAATTGAGAAACCTCAGGAAAATAGACAGAAAAGTCACTTAGACTTCCAATACTCAAAGATCATGATAACATAACCTTTCCTTATTTTAAGTGTATGTGTTTGTACTTGCTGTAGGAATGATAAAAACAGCTGGTTGCAGCTTCATTCCCTGTGTTCTCATCTGAATAGTTCATTGTTATTCCTCAAATATTCATCAACATTTAAAATAGTCATGTTCATCAAGTAAATAGTTAATGACTAATTTAAAAAACTGTCTTGCCTACTATCCAAATAAAATTTCTGATTTGACTGTTATGATTATTACATATGATGCCATAGTGAGTATTCTTCTATCTTAATCTTTGCTTCCTCCTTATGATAAATTCTTAGGGGTAGAGTTACTGATCCAGGCTGTAGATATTTTTTCAGACATTTGACATATATTGCCAGGGTTGTGTGGTTTTGACTAAGATATTCCAATGAAGCACATTAGATGTATTGGCTTGGGTGCCATGGGAGAATGACCTTTCTACTGGATAGACATGTCCCTCCATATTCAAGTCCACCTGAAATTCAGAAGGTTACCTTATTTGAAATAAATGTAATTAGTTACAATACAGCCATAGTAGATTAGTATGGGTTCTAGTTCATAGTAGATAGACACACAGACCACAGAATGCCCTGGGCCTTGGGGACAGACATGAACATTGTAAGCCAAAGGAGCATCAAGGACTGAGAAGAGCCACCTAAAGCTAGGAGCTAGAAGAACAGTCCCTTCTCCAGAGTTTTCAATGACAGAATGACTCAGTGATGTCATAGCTTCAACTCTGGCCTTTAGACTGAGAAAAAAATCTGGTATGTTTTAAAACCACCAAGTGCATGGTATTTTGTTTCTGCAGCCAAAGGAAGCTAACACAGCACCTCAAATTGTGTACATAGCTCACCACAGGGGTGAGGCAGCATACGCAAATACTGAAAGCCAAATCAGCTTATCCAGAGCCACACACTGGAACTGGACCACTTACTGGAAATATTTGGCATAGCTCTTGACTAGCTTGTAAAGATGACCCCAGTCCTCTGATTACTCAAGTTGGGTGAATTTATTGTGGTCTGTTCATTATCATCATTGAGTTATGTTTTATTTTATAAGACCAATGAAATTTGTTCTCTGTAAAATAAATTAAAATTTCCACATTCTCAGAATAATTAACGTGTTGGCTGCTGTGTCTGACACTTGACAATCATCTCATTTAATTGTCACAACCACCAGTAAAGTAGGTGATTTTTCTATCCTTAATGGGAAGGGAATAAATGTCTACTCATGGTTGCACAGTAAGTATTCATTGATAGATTTGCCAGATTATGAACTGGTAACAAACCAATTCTATGCTATACTATGACTTATGTGAAGCAGCTACTCTTATTTCAATGAATGTCCTGCAATTTCTGGTACCTCTTTCCCTTACAATTGCCTAATGAGCAATAGAACCAACAGGAACCTTGAAGATGTTGCTACTGTAGCCAAGCACAGATCAAATGCCAGAGAAAATGCCAAGTGGATCCTTAATAAGGATTGTGCAGTGGGAGCAAGTTTTTGGCAAGGAATCAGGTTTCCTGGTTGGAGATGTATTGACCCTTCTTATCCTACATCCATGAAGACTATCCTATAAGTGATAAGACAACACATTCTCAAAGTTTTTTTTTTTTTTTTATAGATGTGGAAAAAGAATGAAGACTGAAACTTGGTATCCTTTATAATGTTGACACAAAACTAAACATCCAAAAATGATATTCTCCTTATCTCCAACGTGACAGTTTTATTAGTACTCCTACTATGATGAAAGAGAATTTTAAAAGTTGATAATCTATAGTGTTTCTTAAGAATATGAACACATTTTAGACATACTGCATTCATATTTATAGCCCTAGTTCTTAGCAGAGGGTTTTGCATGTGACAGATACTCAACAGATGTTTGTGAAATAAATGCAATGGATAAAATATACAGAATAGGCTTTTGGTGTCAGATTCTAAGATGTGTATCTAAGTGCCTGGCACAACAAACAGGTTTCTGGTTGGCTCTGATGTGTCGGGAAGGCAGACTGGGAAGTGTTTACCTTCTGCATTTACCACCATAGTCCCAATAACCCCTTTATGACTCTGGATCCTCTTCAGGGTTTCCTCCACCTCCGCCTGGAAGAGATCAGGGAACTAATTCACCAAAAGGGTGACACCCACTCTAAACAGAACGTATCCAGAGAGACACTTATTCCCTTATCTCCTCAATCTATGGTGATGGATCTATGTTCTTACATTCTTATAAATCAGACTGGAGATGGTCAAGTCTTACATACCAACCTATTGGGAGACCCCACCCCTGCCTAAGTCTAACAAGTCTCTAGCAAGCCCTGACAAGTTTCTGGAACCCTTGTAGAGACAGGGAGCTTATTGCCCCCACAAGATTTTAGTATGTTTTTTGTCTGTCTTTACTAGAAAAGAATTTTTTACACTGGACAGAAATTTGTCCCAGACCATCTTTTAGCCATGGATATTTTATATTTACAAAAATTTCTATGTTACAGTCCTTTGACTATTTAGACTTACACTGAGTTCTCCCTGTCCAAAATTTGTGTTTTGTGAGAAGCCCCATTTTATTGTTACCTAAACGAGCGTTTACTTGGATGACTAATTTATAGAGGGGTATTCTGCAACCCCCTGACATATCCCAGGATTTCCTTTTCATAATTATAGCTTGACTCTCCATACAAGATAAACCTCCAACCATGCATGATTATGGTGGCTTTTAAACTCATTTATCTGAATGAATGTTATGTGTTCACCCTCTTATTCCACTTTTCTTCTTCTCTTTGAAATGCCCAAATCAAGAATAGTCTTTTCTAAACCTGCATAATTGAACAATCAATCATTATTTTGAATTTATATGGCATTATGCAGAGTCTCTTTATGAGAATTTAAAAAATGTTCTTATCCCCAACATCCTAAGATGAACATTGTTACTTTAGTTAAGATACACCTAATGCAAGCATAGAAATGTAACCTCTTTCCACCACCACAATAAGTGTTCTCTGGATTTTGGGAATGGATGTATTAGATTCACATTTTTTATTAATAAATGCTATCTATTTTTACTAGCATGTCCTTTAAGTTATTTCATTGTGAAATCCTTAAGTAAGTGCATCTTAAAAGGAAACCATTATCACTATTAATAGAAGTCTAGCATTGTTTGTCAAGATGAAAATGACTGTAAAAACAAATAAAACGAAGAAAGGACATGTTATTAAAAATTCCACTGGAATGAAGGTCTTGAGCTTGAGGTCTGTTCTTCAGGTGAAAACTGGAAATTATCAACTGGTGATAGTATTAAGGAACTAATAGTAGTAAAAGCTTTTTATCCCACGTACTGTCTAAACGAGGGTGAGAAAAGGGAGGGGATGTTTGCACGATGTGATTCATTCTGTTTTCACTCTGGTATGTCTACATTCCTTTTTGGGAAACTGCACTTCGTCCTAATAGCTGTGCCGGGGGATCAATAATTGGTTCCATTTCTGACCACTCGTAAGACAATGTCCACTGCTCCGCACAACACTCTATTCCCCCTGCCCCGTGCTTCTCTTCTTCTGATTGCTGAGTCCTTCCAGTACAATCTAATCCTCCCACGTGTACCCCCTTTCCCCTCTTAAAGCTCTTTGTTTCCCCCAGTCCCTTTTGGCTTTTTCTTGCTTTTTAATCTCGAAGGAAGAATGGTCCTCCCTGATCCCCTTCACTTCTTTCCAAAGCCCCTTTCTCCTGATCTTCTTTTCTCCTCCCTCCCTCCCTCCCTCCCTCCCCATCCCGTCGCTTTCTCCTCTCATTTTTGCTTCCTGGACCTTGCAAACTGTCCTACTTTCCAAGACTTCCCATCCTCCTCAGCATCCCCCATCCACTCCACCTCTCCTCTCTCCCCTTCATCTACTCCATCTCTCCGGTCTCCTCGTCATCTACTGCATCTCTCCTCTTTCTTTCTCCCCATCACCTTTCCCGAATTGTCACCCCCCAAATCAGCCCTCTACCTAGCTAGACATCTCGCCCCCTCCCCCAAGAAGCTTTTTGGGTAGCTAGTTTCGCCATGGCCCCAGGACGACACTTCCACCTGAGGCCCCAAGACTTTACCATTGCGTGGCCGGCGAGACTTCAGGCTCAAGACAGCACCAAGGCCTCCGGGGATATTAACAACGCTTGCCCCGTTGCTAGGAGACAGGGGAGGAAGCGGCCTCCCGGAAGCGCCGCGACGCGTACGCGCACGCACGAGGTGGGCAGAAGCTGAAAGCGCGGCTCTTCCGCCCTCACCGCGGCAGGACGCGTGCGGGCCGCGGCTGGGAGTGTTCTCGACAGCCGCGGCGGGCGGGCGCTCGCTCCCCCGCGCTCCTCGCAGACTTGTGGGGAGCCAGGGCGGCCGAGGCGGACGCGGGCGAGCGCGCCTCCGAGGGAAGCCGCTGGGTCCCCGGTCCCCGTCAGGCACGCGGTAGCGTTACCTGCCGCCCGCGCGCGCGGTCGGGAGCCACGTTCCGGCTCCCTGAGGGGCCTGCGCGCTTCTCACGGCCAGACCGACGGACGCCACGCCGCAGCCACGTGTCCACGTGCGACCGGATAGTGTCCACGTGAGGTACGGGGTCGGGGCCGAGGCCGAGGAGGCCTGACGCCGGGCCGGTGGCCGCGCCGCCTCGCCTCGCGTCTCAGTGGCGCCCCACACAGCCCAGAGAGGCCCCCCACAGCGCGGAGCGCCCCGCCTCTCTGCTCCCCCCTCCTTCCCTCCCCTCTCTCCCTCCTCCCCCCTCCCTCCCTCCCTACCTCCCCCCTCCCTCCCTCCCTCCCCCCTCCCTCCCATCTCCCTCTCCCTCCCTCCCCTCCCCCCCTCACCTATATCTTTCTATACCTATTGTCCATCTCTAATATCACTTACCTCCCTGTGTCATCTATGTGCCTGTATCATCTATATCTGCCATCTATATTGATTATCATCTATATTTGTCTACCTGTCTGTACATATATATGATTATGCCACCCCCCCCCCCCCGCCCCCCAGGTCAGTAGAGGAAGCACCATCTCACACCTTAGGCTGTAACAATGCTGTACATACACCACCCCTTTACACCTATCACCTCAGCTGAAGAGTTGCTACTCAGCGGTACTTTTACTCCTTGGTCCATTTGGGTTCTTTTTGCCAACCCCCCACTCCCCTTTTTTGGGGGGTTCACTAAGGCCTTGAGTTAGAGGAAAAACATTGCAAGTGATAGTGCTGGAGAGTCTACAGATTGCCACAGATGAAGATTCTGCTGGGAATTTTAAGACCAGATAGAGGAATCAGAAGTTAAAAATCAATTAGGTATAGTCAGAAGGGACTTGTCTTTTTGAAGGGAACTGATACTATTATGCATAGCCTGGGAGGAAGCGGCCGACTTCACAGCAGAACTTTTTTTTTTTTCCTTTAAATGGTTGAAGTCATGTTGTGAATTCCTGGGACCTGAAGAGAACATATGTTGATGACTGAATGCAGCTTGTAGGTTTAGGACTATATTGTAATGGATTGCTGTAATACTGACTTAGTTTGGGCTTCTATTGTCAGAGTCTCATCCAACCTTAAAAAATGGGTGTTTTTTGCTAGGACTGTTAGCTAGAATCTGAATAGGCCCTTGGTGAGGATTCTCAGCAACAATCAACTTGGTGATTTTGGACTAGATTTTTTTTTTTGCCATATATATATATATATATATATATTTACATCTCAAGTCTTATTTGTGATACTAACTTAGATTCTGAAGAGCTGAGAAATTCTAGTTTTGTTTCAGTCTTGAGAGGTGGATGATTTGGGCCACTGTAACCAACTCCTTCCCTTTTCATTTATATGTCTTACAATGGTGACCAATACCTGGGACTCCAACTGATGAAGCTAGGGTTGTGGGACATGAATCTGAATTTGAGGGTGTGTGTGTGTGTGTGTGTGTGTGTGTGTGTGTGTGTGTGTGTGTGTGTGTGTGTGTGTGTTTGGATATGTGTACAGATTTGTCTCTTAACCGACTACCATTTGTCAGTAATAAGTCTTTTTTGCAGTAACACTGGATGAATTGTGTGAGGACTGGTTCTTGGACTCAGAGTGTTTTTGATCAAGATGATGCCCACTTGAATTTATCCGTAGCCATTTGCTGTCCCTCCTCCCCCTTTTAAAGTCAGTGGCAGTGTACCATATCTTGTGTCAATCAGCTTTAATGAAGAAACTGACTGCATATGCATGGGGTGTGAACTCTTTCCTTTCTAGAGTGAGGGTGTCAAACTCATTCAATAGCTGACAGCTGTGATTAGAGCAAAGCAGGACTCCAGCAGAAAGGCAATGACAGGAGAACCCAACTGCTAAAAAAGAAATGAGAAGGAGCCAAACTGACTTCCAACCAACAGTCAAGTTTGACTCACTGTGCACAGGAAATCAATGAGGAGAATATGAGCTATTTTCTCTCTATTGATTTTCACTTCTAATTATTCTTTGTAGGTAGCTTTATTTAATTTTTGTGGGGGGTTTAATGAATATCCAGGGCAGGGCTATATACACTGCTGTGGCAGTGTCTGATATGTGCCCCCACACTATGGTACATGTGTACAGTACAGATGTGAATTCTCTCTACTCTCTCCCCCACCTTCTGTCCTCTTCTTTTTGGCCTCACAATAAATGTTAAATAGTTCTGAACTTAAAGTATTCATGAATATTACTTTACTCAAATACTTGGACATAACCCCAAAAGTTGTGGTATATGCAGAGAGAAATTCTATCATTTCTCTATCATTTTTGTCGAAATGAAACGATTTTCCTCTAGGGGACACCACTCTTGATCTTTAATAATTCTGGAGTACTCTCTGGTTAGTCTGGAGAAGTCCATATGATTTCTTTTCGTATCCCCTTGAAAATTTCTGTATTATCCCACATATCTATTTTTGGCATTCCTTCTGTTTGGCAAATACTGTGGACTGGGCTATTCTTTCTCTCTTCTGTCCATTTTTTTCTTAAAGAGGCATTGTTTGTCAATGTAAACAAGACTTCTAGTTCTCTACTGGTTTCATGCCAGAAAATAGAAAATAGACAATTCTAAAATGCCCCACAATTGTAAGGCAGAATTAGAGGATATGGGTGATCCCAGTAAGTATTCCACAGAACTGACCTACTGCCATAGACTCACGAAAATGAATCTTTACTTAGTTCTATAAAGTCAGCCATTTTCTTCTGAGGCAGAATCACTCCAGGGCAATTCTTTTCAGGATCTGAATGTAGCATAAATGTTTAACCTCCCTGTTGGTACTGAGTTGTTTCTTGGGGCACAGGATTTGGTCTTGTGCATCCCTAGAGTTGACATTTGTAGGTATAGTCCCATAAATAAACTCTCCAAGCTTCAGTTTCTACATTAGTAATATAAGAATGACAATACCTACCGAGTGGGTTGGTGTGAGGTTTCAATGATACTATGTAGGTGACATGTCTGATTCACACCAGATGCTTGATATGGATCATTTCACATTGTTTCTTTTATATTTTCCTTTTTCTAGTTAGCTTTTTGTTCTTTCCTCTGTTCTTTTCTCTCTTTCTCTTCTCACCTTTCCATTTCACTGCCCCTTACCTCCCTCCCTCTCTCCTCTGTTTCCCTTCTCTCTTCCTTCTTAATTCCCTTCTCTTACATTTCCTCTTTTGCATCCTCCCTAGGAAAAATCTCCAGTTCTCGTGAACTTTTCCCCTAAATAACAGCTTTTCCCTTTCCCTTTAGGCAGTCTCTTATTCATGTTGACCCTTCTAAGTCTTACCCTGATTTCACAACCCCCATTTACATCTCCAACAGACACACTTCCCATTTTATTATAGTGCAACCAGTAGATATGACCTGTTTCTCAGGGTTGAGAGAAAACGTAAATATTTCCTGGCCTACAAATTTTGTGTAAAGAAAGAAAAGTGTGAAGGGAGCAAATGATCCCATATAATAGGTAACCCTTCTTTTCTCTGGTAATCCAGTCTCAAGGTCTGTAACCTATATTTTCAAGATTTATGATCAAGTTAGTTTAAAATTTAATTGTAAGTATGACACAAAAAAGTAAAGTACGTACAGCAAACCACAAAACATAACAGCAAACCACAAAACTTAAGGAATAAAACACTGCTCACCTCCCAAAAGCTTCCGTGTGTGGCCAATCTCAGTCACTACATCTGCCTTTCACTAGGTTATTTACCTGACTTCTAGCAGTATTACTTAGATTACCTCACTTAAAATTATACCTTTAAGTGCACTTTTTGGTGGATGTTATGTGTAGTTCTAAGTAATGATTCCAAGTTATTCATGTGTTCGCTATTGAGAGGAATTTTGGATGTGTCTTCATTTTTATATTGTGAGTAAAGGACCACGAAGCTCCTTTCACATGTCATTGGGTGTATGTGTGCATTCATTTATTCTATGTATATTTCTGTGGTGAGACTTTTCCAAAATGGTGGTGCCAGTGTATGCAACAGTAGTGTAAGAGAATTACTTTTGGTTTGCAGCTTTTTAAGTTGTTGATATTGTTGGTCTTTTTAATTTTTAGCCATTTTGCTCTGGGTATTTTCATGTCTCCCTGTGGTTTTTTATAACATCATGCACATTTTCCACATTATTTATTGGTTAAATTTTGAATGTGTAAATGCACATATGTATCTATATGCTAGCTATTTATTAGTTATTTCCTATATCTACATTTACATCTATAGGAGTATGTAGCTGTATATCTGTATTACATGTATTCTACGTCATGGATAGAGTTTTATTCTTTCACTAGTATCTCTGAAGAATGGAATTTCTTAATTATTTATTCTAGAAATCAGTATTAATTTTCTTTTATGTCTTGTTTAGGAAATATGTTCCCTATCCCAAGGCCATAAAGACATTTCATTTATTTTCTCAGAAACATCAAATTGACACAGTACATTAATTGCTGGGGTTTGTGCTTGATTTTATTAATAACCAGAGGAACAAAAATTTAAAAGCCACTGGGAGATATGACAATACACATACAATTGAGAAGCCTAACAACACCAACTAATGAAAAAGCTGCAGACACTAAAAGGGTCAATTAGTTTCCCACTTCTCTCTTCCACATGCATGTTTTCTTGCCTTTCTGTCTTTCACCAGATGATGCAGAGAGAAGGTCCTTGCCAGATGATGGTGCCCTGATACTGAATTTCCTGGCCTTCTAGAA